TAAACATAAACATAAGCATACACATATACATATACACAAATACAAATACATATACATATACATACACACACACACACACACACACACACACACACACACATATATATATATATATATATATATATATATATATACACACATACACACACACACACACACACACACACACATACATTAAAGTGGTGATCTTGAGCCCCATTCAAGGGTGGGTTTTTTTTTAATGAAAACAAGAGAACACATATTATAATTTTAAATGTTTTTTAAAAGCACAATATGCAGACTTAATTCCTACCCATTCACATTTCTTAGCTAAATACATACCAACCGTAAAATTCTTCCTCTATACACACACACACACACACACACACACACACCAGTCTACATGCCATGGTTGATCCTATCTCCACAACCTATTTTGATGTTCCTAGCTATCTGATATACATACAGAAATAAAATTTCAACTATTTTTCCTTAATAGACCACAGTCTTCTTAAAAGATTACAAAAGAGATCAAGTTTAATGATGAAGTACAGTAAATGTGTCAGAGTCCAGCATTTTACCACAGAATAAATGAACCATTTCCACAATGATGGCCACTTCAAGAAGTGGCTCCTAGCATGCAATACCACCACATAAGAATGGTTGCCTGAGACACTAGGGCAAGTCAAGACTGTGGAACCAAAGTTGTCATTTAACAGAATTAGAATCGGATCCTGTTAAGTATAAGAGAGAGTTATATTTAATTTGAGAGGAAAGGATCATGCTTAATATCAACCTGTTCTGGTTGGAGACCTGCAAACTGATAGAACACTGAACAGAAAAGTTGGGAGCCACACAGGAGGGTGGAGAACAGGAGAGGCAATTTAGATAGTAACCACAAATCCAAGCTACAGAAACAGAGTACCAGGGCTAAGAATTGTAGTAGCAACAACAAAATAATTTAGTTCAAAGAATGAAGAGGAAAATGCTTCTGTTATCTACTGAGAGCATTTGCCACAGATGAAGCCAGGTTTGTTCAATTCATCAGATACAAATAAAAGGCAACTCTTTGCAAGAGCACAAGGTTTTCCTTCTCAGAAGCAGGAATGAAACTAGATTCTACTTTGGCATCAACCCAAAGGCAAGACAAAAACAAAGAATTGAACACCAAGCCACATAAGGTTTCCAAAAACACCCCCGAAACCTACCATGAGCACTGGCTTTGCAGGATATATAGGCAGGCACTTTCTTATTTACCATTACCTAGACCGCAAGCTACAAAACTATGAATTGATGTTGACCACCTTTATAAAGTAGCACAATATAAAGGCTACGTCTATCACAAAAATAAGTATCTCCCCTTAAATTAGGAACTATTAGGATAATAGATTTTAACCTGTGATTGATTTTCAGACCTTTCTTCCCAGAATATTGTTTTTCCCATTTGGGGTTTTCATATATATTTAAATACTGTATCTAAATAGTATATAAAACTGAGTATGCCAAACAGAAGAAAGCCCACATCAAATTATTTAATAAACTAATAATAGTTTATTAAAAAATAAAAATCCTCAAAAATGGTCACATTTTTAAAAACCTTAAATTGATAAACCAAATAAAAGACTTCAAAGCTGAGGTTTAGAAATCAAAATATAAAATACGTCATATTACTATCCAGATGCTCAGGATTGTACTTCTATCAGCAGAGATAATTTTTTAAGATGAAAGTAATCTGGAAAGTGTTATATACTTTTAACTCATTTCCTATATTGCAAGCTTTTTAAACTTATTTGACAAGATTTTATTACTATAAAATGGTATTCATGTGAAATTTAGGAGACCTTTATCTTTAGATGTATTTGTTTGATTGTTATATTCAGTGTATATAGCTGCCCATTTGGGGCAATAAAAATCCATCAGAAAAACACCAAAAAGTGTTTAGTTCTAATGGATCTACCATTAGAAATATTATTTGGATAAAGCAAATAAAATCTGCATTACTTGTGCTGTTAAATATTCTATAATTGAAAGGGCAAATATAAAATGTTTGTATAAATAAGTATAAAACAGTACACAATCTCTGCATTTCAAGTCACTACAAAGACTATGCATGCAGTATATATTTATTTATCTGTGTATATTATGTGCTTGTCCATAGAAATATGGGAAATGTATTACCTGTACTCAAATATTATGAATGCAATGTGCAGAACGTTGACTGACCGCAAACTGACAATCAGCCCGTCAAATTTTAGGCTTCGGCCACTTACCAAATTTTACAAACTGTACTTCATCTGTATTATCACTGCTGCGAGGAACAGGGAGACTTATATAACAACAAATATCAACTGCTGCTAAAATCCCAAGAAACTTTACTGGTACAATAACTGCTCCACTTTTTAAAACTGATATTTGCCTGCATTTCACTATTCAGTACGAGTGAGAAAATATTTTTCCTCTCTCATTACACTGATTTTTCCTTCTCTCTGTGCAAGAGAGATTGTCAGCCATCCTCATCAAATCGATCACAAAATCAGTAAAGGAAAAAGTGAACTTTCAGCGCGATCGCTACCTAATCCACGCGCCTCCTGGTCTTGGTCCCTGGAGAAGACAGGAGGAACTCCTTTTCCCGCTCCCCACCCTCGCCCGCGAGAGCTCGCGCAAGCACAGCAGCTCGTGCACGGCACAGCTGCGCCCAGGTCTGCACCTTGGACGGGCTACCCGGGGCTGGCCAGGGGGGCACCAATTCTTTCAACTGTCCTATAACGCTTCAACCTCGCCCTCTGACAACACTTTTGTAAAAAGAAAAAGAAGCGGGGAGGGGGGCGGCTACTCCTTCTTGCCCCATTTAGCCTCATTAATACCTTCCCTCATAAGCAGGCAGTATTTTCAGAGACAGTTTTGAGGCGCTGGAGAGAAAAAACACCCCCCCACCCCTTTTTCATTCTAATGTTAAAAGGGGTAAACCATGTATGTGTGAATGGTCTGTAGTTGTTGGCGAAGCCAGAGAGGGGCTGTGGGGGCGGGGGTGGAAGTGCAGAGAGAACAATTCTAGCATGCTCCACTCGTGCTGAGAAGACCGTTTGGAGTTAACTTTTCACCCACCCGGGAGATAACCACCGCGGTGCCCGCCTTTTTCCTCTGGCCTTTCGAGGAACCAGGCACGTTGCGCGCAAAGAGGGGCTGGTGGCCCCTGACGTGTCTCCCTGCCTGCCTCCTTCGGCGCCCCACTACCTATCCATTATCTGCCAAAATCCCCGTGGAGAGGGGCTCCAGAAAACAGCTTCGTAAGTCCCAGAGTTGCCGAAAGAAAAGAGGGAATTATGGAGGGCAGGCCGTGCCGGCTGACGGGGAAAGGTGGTCGCAAAAATTGGGCCAACTGGTCGGCAAACAGCGTCATACTCAGCTGGTCCGATCCGATTCCGGAGACATTGGAGAGTGGAAATAGGGAGGCTACTCTAAAATCTTCAGAGTTTCGGAGCTGTATTATTTCTTTATCGTTTGAACTCTTCCCTCCCCCAGCAAATCTTGTCTTCACACTGTGACTTAGTGCACCCCTGCCAGTAAATGTGTTGGCTCCAGAAACCACCACCTTTATATCCGAATTATAGCAATGTTCGACAGAGATTTATTTCTCGCCACAGGCACCCTATCTCTCTCCCTCTCCCTCTCTCCCTCTCCCACGCGCGGAGAGCTCCATTAGAGTTCCGCAAGTCCCTGCGGGAACTCTGACCTCGGCGGAAGGTTAGAGTACTTCCTTGCCTCAAATCCACCTTTTTTGCTCTATGTAGAAAGACAGAAATCCTACTCCGCCGCCAGGCCCAAGACTACGCAGGGCAAAAACCAAAGGGGGTCCCCCAAATGGGGCCTCCCCCCTTCAAAAGGGGGTGTCTGGCTGCTCCTACTTTAGGCCTGAAAAGGCGCCAATTTTTTTTTTAATATATACAAACGTATCAAACTTGTAGGCAAAAAGAAACCCCGTTGTCTACCTGAAGTTGTCCTAGAAGGTGGTGGAAAGAAGCTGTGGTGGAAAGAACCCATTATTTTAAAATAGAAAAAAATAATGTTTATTATGAAAAGTATCTAACTTTAATCAGACAGGCTCTGGAGGGGAGGCAGAAAAAGGGAGAGAACCACTTTAAGACTGAGGCTAAAATATTATCCCGGGTAGCGCACCGCCTTTGGCTGGCATTCCCTCCCAGCGCAAAGCGCCCCCTCCTCCTTTCCTTAATCCCTTTCCTTTCCCCAGAAGACCCGGTGCCCACCCGGGGACAAGCACTGATGTGCAACTTCAGTTCGGCAAGAGCGGAAAGAAGCAAACGTTAAAACTGTTCCTGAACTTTAGAAACTTTGCCAGCCCGTCCAAATACCCCCACCCATCTCCCCCTCAACGCAACAACCTCGGCTTTATCTCTCCCACCCCCATCTCTCCGGCCACAGTCTCACCCGCGCCACCGGTAACTCAGCCTAGTTTTCTACTATCTCTTCTTCATCCCCACCCCGCCGTTAATGTTTTTAAAATAAATTTGGGGGAAGCGCCATTTTCTGATCTCCTAAACCCGTGTGCAGTGAATATAACAAAGAGCTTGGAAAGATGCCATCTCTCTCTTTCCTCTCTCTCCCTCTCTCCCCCCTAACTTCCCTCCCTCCCCCTGCTCTCTGCAGAGGGAAAGACGCGAGGAATTCTTTCTTCCCCAGCAAAACCACGCAAGGCGACAGAAATAACCCTCAAACCAGCGGCAGGCAAGACTGGCAGCGGCGGCGGCAACGGCAGCAGCAATATAACACAGGAAAAATAAACGAGCGAGCGAGCGAGCGCACTCAGAAGGAAAAAGGGAAAGGGGGGGGGAAGAGCGAGTGAGATAAAAAGCGAAGCAAAACACAAACAGAAACAACAAAAGAGTTTCAGTCTGTCCCGTAAGGGAGCAACCCCGCAGGAAAGGCGCGCTCACCCCTCCCCGCGCCCGCCGCCGCCACTGCCCTCCCCCGCCAGGCTACCGCCGAGCTCAGCTAGTTGTTACCTGGGTCAGGCAGTACGGGGAGTACATGGTTACTTTTGGACTTTGCTTTTGCGGGATTGTGTTCACAAGGCGAGCAGCTGCATAACTCGGGCTGCTGCGGCTCCTTCTCGCGGTGCCTCTACTCCATGCTGGTCTGTAACCCCGCCTTGGAGCTCTGAAAGTGAAAGTTTAGACAAAGTTTGGAACGGAGAACACTTTTGCCTTGAAAAAAAATGTTCAGCCTTTGAGCTCCCTCCCACTCATCCCCCTCCCACCCATGCAAGCACGCTCACACACACGCACACACAGAGCATTCAGAAACTCTTCTCGCTTGCTAGCAAGTTTTAGATTCCTTTGAAGCTGATATTAATAATCTCCAAAGACGAAGAATGCCTTCTAGCCAGGATCTCTCCCCCACACACACACACACGCCGCCCACCTCTTCCCTTGGTGGGGAATTCTGAGCTAGCGGGGGGGGGGCGGCGAGGGAGGCTAACGGACGCATTTTTTAAAAAGGGAGGAGGAACATGGCACCGCCGAAGCTTGAGACACTAGCCCGATTTAAGGTTTTGCTTTTCACTGGGCATCAAAATGCCACCCCATACATCAGTGGAGCGAAGGTGATGCCAGTCAGTTGTGCTGAAAGTCACTCTCGCTCTCTATGGCATTCCAAGGGACGGGCAGACGCCCAACCCGCCTGTTCCCCGTCCCCCACACCTTTCCTGCACCCCTTTCCTAATTTCGAAGGCGGCTTCTCTGGTGAGGATGCGGGATGGAATGTGCCCGCCATTCTTCCCGTCTCCGAACCGAAGTCGGTCCCATGTGAAAGTGGAGAACTCAGAGGGGGAAATCCGCTCCTTCGAAGGCCCTGAAACCGTGCCTACACCGGGGTTGTTATAAAGCGAGCGAGGAGGTGCGTGTGGATATTGGGCAGAGAAGACAGGTTCAAGATCCTGAGAAGAGGCTCATTGACTCAAGGTTTGAAAAAGGCAGCCAAGCGACCGCAATGTTTTTGCTGTCGGATTAAACTGCCGCCCGGTTCTGGGCAGTTCTCGCCCGAAGCCCCCGCAGCAGCTTTGCATGTCAAAGTGGGGCGCCGAAGGCTCTGGCCGGGCCTTTCTTCCGAGGCTGAGCGAGCGGCTGTGGAAGGAGGCCCGACTGTGCCGGCAGCGATCACGTCGGAAGATTTCTGCGTTGGTGGGGGAAAGAGCGACTGCTCCTGCAAGCCGTTCCCTAGAAAACATCGGGTTCCCTCACCCGCCTCGCCAGCTGCAGGCAGCTCCCCTCCGCAACCCCTGCAAATCCTTGGGCGGGAGCAGGGCGGCTGGAATTACAGTACCAGGACGGAGTGAGGCTTCACCTAGGGAAAAGCCAGCTTAAAGGGCCTCCTTTGTCCGCCAGCGTATCTGCCGCGGAGAGGAGGGGAAGAGCTGTTCTGCCATTTCAGGTTCAAAAGTGCAGGTTGGAGCTCGGGGTGGTTTTCCTTCCTCCCTTCCACTTCATTTTAAAGGTGTGGGGTGTTGCGGAAGAAGGAAAGGCCTGCCAAGGCCACCACGATCCTGATCTATCTCGACCCTCTTCAGAATCACAGCCAAAGCGCCAAGATCGAAGAGGGACCTTTTTCCGTTTGTCTCCGATTTGAACTTCGTCCCTCTAGAGGCTGGCTTGCCTTAGCCATCCTAAAATCAAGGAAGGCCTCTTGTTTGGCTTCACTGGGGCTCCTGGCTGTTTTAGCAGATGGGCCTCCAGGTTCACTTACAGCAGGGCAGAACCCAAAACAGAATAGTAGAAAAGCACCCCCACACACACACACACACACCACACCCCATATACAAAGAGTAGAGTTTCATAATGTACCTGGCCCTGAACCTTCTATTGCTTTTATACCACTGGAATTATCAGGATTTTCCCTCTGACTGGACTTGAGGATCCCATTACGTTTGACAGTCCTTTTCCCCTCTGACCATGAATGGTAGCAAAATCAGTTTAGCCCTCGCGGGCCAGTGTACAGATATCTATGAAAGAAGGTTCAGGCCCCAGCTCTCATCAATGTATCTGCCTCTAGGTGTTGCTGGGGGGGGGGGGTTAAAGTGATGGAGTGCTTCATTCTCCAGCAATGATATGGATTGCAGAGGTAACCCCATTGAAGAGGATGACTTAGTAGCTAAGGCATGAGGCTAGAAAGCAGGAGACTATGAGAGCAAGTCCTGCCTTTGGCACAAAGCCAACTGGGTGACCTTGGGGCACTCATTCTCAGCTCCAGGAAGAAGGAGAAGGCAAACCACTTCTGGAATCTTAACAAGGGCAGGGACTTTTCTAGGCAGTCCCTAAGAGTCAAGACTGATTCAAAGGCACCAACACAAGTCCATTAAGTCTCTAGGACTGATTTGTACTGTTATTGTGTACAAAGCCCTGGCAATTTTTCTGTCCTTAGGGGGCAGTGTTTTCAATCCAGTTCTCTTCAGGGTGGACAGAAACTGCATAAGAAAAATAATTGATGTTCTTCAAGGAACACTTGTGTTATTCCTCTAGAGCAGCAGCCCCCAAACCTTTTGGGCACCAGGGACCTGTTCCTTGGAGAGAGGTTTCAGGGGGCTGGAGGGGCATGGTTGCACATGCTTCCTGCATCCTACATATAGGGCTTTGCTTGTTTGTGTGGCCCAGTTTCTAGCATGCCATGGAGCACTGCCAGTCCATGGACTCAGGGTTGAGGACCCCTGCCATGGCCCACTGGTGGTCCTCGAGAAAATTTTGGTGGTCCGCAGAGAAATGTCACCCCAGAGCACACACACACACCCCAAGCAATTAATCCAGGCTGCACAGGAACACAAGGCTGTGCCTGCAGGAACCCTCCCCCTCACTCACTCCTTACCTGGCAAACTTGCCTGCTAAGTTGCTATTTTTCCTTTTTTTTTCTTCCGACCATCAGCTGTTCTGCTCTGCCAAGAGATTTAGATTAGCTAGAAAGCAGAAAATCATTGGATTTCTTGCTTTCTTGCTAGTCTTTAGATCGAGCGGAACCTTCTTTTCTAGGACTGAAGCTTCTATTATTCAATGCAGGTAGCAGATGGCAGAATCATAGATCTCTAAGTGAATCTGTGATTGTGTGAGCAACTCAATCTGCCTGCCTGCTTTGCCTGATTTTGGGTAAAAGTTGCTCTCTTTTTAAATAAAAAATTCAATATTTACATAAATATTTATAATGTTTACATACAAACCATGCCCAGCCAATCACATGACCACTAAGCCACACCCACAAATTAGGCCACACCCAAGAACCAGTTAAGAAATTTGAATCCCACCCCTGCCTGTGTGTGTGGGTGGGGTGGGGTGGAGAGAGAGGTTAGATCAGATCTCTTTCTCTCTCTCCCTTTCCCACCAATGTCAGCAAGCCACCGTCAGTCAAAATTCATATTAGTGCTCCCCAGGATTTAAAATTATGAGTTTGATGGTCCCTGAGGTCCAAAAGGTTGGCGACTCCTGATCTAGAGCACATCTAATTCTGGGTAATGTTACATATAAATTAACCATCATCAAAGCTATTACAATGCTTTGCTGTTGTTACATGCAATCTATAACTGTGGTCAGTGCAATGATGCACGGGGTTTGTCTCCTTAATCTTGATGTTTTTACAGGATTGAAGTGAGCCTTGAAATCTTTTCTTTCACAATGAAGCTGAAAGTGAAAAATTGGAAATAGTGACAATGCAATTTTGTGTTTAAAAACAATCTAGACCGGGCACGTCCAATCCACAGTTTTCAAATTGCATGAGGCCCTGGATAGCTGGTAATGTGGTCCCACAAGATTGCAAACTTTTAACATTGTTTATGCTTACACACTCAATGTGGCCCAGGCAAGCCAAAAGCCCATGCTATTAGACCAAATATAGTAAATAGCTTACACAGGGTGTCCAACAACAGCACAAATATGTTCCAGTAGCCTCTCTTTTTTTTCTGAATTTAATGAGGTTTTCTTCATCTAATTATCATTTTATAGTGACCTATCCTCAACTGTACCAATGTTAGAATAGTGCTTTCCTCCTTACAACAATCCACTTTTGTGTGAATAAATCTTTCCCGCTTCTTCAGCCATGACTCATTCATGATCCTTTTAGGAAGACCTATTGACTAGTTTAGGGAGGTACTGGGCATGACCCCTAACCCTTTCCTTCCAGTTCCTGACCATTATCTTCACACCCATTCAAGCTCTGGAGAGCAGAATAATTCTTTCAAACAAGTCTCCCCTATACCTGCCAGGTTATTAAGTCAAGGTCAATGGCAGAAACACTGATCAACCTGCAGAGAAAGTGACCAGTATTCTGCAAAGGCAAAGCTGCAGTTTGTGTGCTCCCTCCCTCCCTCTCCCTCTCTCTGACAAGTCCTCAGTTAATTATCATAATTGGGAACAGGAACTCCACCACTAAGCAATTCAGTTGTAAAATGTGATGCTGTATGACTGCCCTGACTCACAACAGGTTTACAGCAGTTCAGCAGTTTCCACTTGTGGTCCTTATTTGAATCCTGCATGGTTGTTAGGAATGACATCACATGATCACCATAATGCAACCTCCTGCCAGGTTCCCCACTGACTTTCCTTATCTGAAGCCAGCATGAAGGTCACAAACAGCAAATCTGTGATCATAAGTTGGTGCAGCCATTATAATTGCAAGCCATTGCAAGCACCTGAATCACAACTGCAGGACTGGGTGCTGCAATGGCCACAACTTCAAGGATCAGCTATAAATCAGTGCCATCATAAACTCAAAAGATTGTTAATCAAGGACTAACTGTATTGTACCTGCAGCAGGGTAGAGAATAAACATATTTTATTACCAACTTCTATACTGCTGACATCATGTGGAAGCCTGCAATAAAACCCTAATATAATTAAAGACCACCAAGTTGAAATCACGCTAGTGTCCTTCCCTAGCAAGCACCACAAATGCAAAATAGTTTGTCAATCCAAGGATGTCCTTAGGTTTACTAGTGTTAAAAATTCTTATTCTGGCACCATCCAAAAGCACCTCAAGGATAAAAACTGTTGGGCTTTGTCACATAAGGAGACAGCCATTTTATTCCAGTATAGTTTTCTCTCAACTCAAGGTTGGTACCAAGCGTTACAACTTAGCAGTGGAGAAGGGCCCTTAGAGAACCTCTAACAGATCAGTATTGTTTT